GAAGCCATATTTAGGACGGGAAGTGTTTGAGTGAGAGTGAGACCTCATGAAAGGTTCATGGCTGGGAAATACATACGTGCATTCATGCATGCATACATACATATATATATATATATACATGTATGTATACATATATATATATATGTGTGTGTGTGTGTGTATGTATGTATGTATGTATGTATGTATGTATGTATGTATGTATGTATGTATGTGTGTGTGTGTTTAGCAGCCGCACTCGATAGGTCTGTGCATAGATATATATATATATACACACACACCTACACATCATCGTACAAGTATATGGAGGCTGTCAGGGAATGCTGTTACGAATTTTCCGGCCCCTCTAGCCCGCATGAAGGCAATAGTACGGAAACGTGACCTTTCCAATCACTAACATGTCTGCCACTTGTGGTCGGGTTGGCATGAAACGATCCATCAGGGTTGAGAATTCCCTGTTGCTTCGCTATGTAGAGTTCTACTACGCTGTGATCCAAGATATGGGCCATGCAGAGCTCGACTTGGGTCTTACCGAGGCGCAGGCACTACATGGGGTGCCAAGGCCCGCCGAACCGGAGGCCCCAGGTCTCTCTACAAAAACGAGAGCAGAGAGCACAGAGCCGGACCGCCTGGCCGGTGCGTCATGCGCGCCGCCAGCCGCGAGGAGCTCCAGGGCAGTGCGGCGATGCCGCTTTGGTACTTCGCGCGCTGGACAGCCTCGCAACTTCGTGTCGTAGTGCAGGCCAAGCTGTAAGGTGCCTTCGGGTGGCTACCCGTTCAGAGTTCAGCGAGGGCTATGATCGCTCGCTTTCAGATCCCTACGCCTCGGAGCTCAAGAGATCAGTCGCCTACATCACGAGAGCGAACAAAATGGTACGTCTGCGCGAGCAAGCCGCTCATTTTCAACACACAGAACACGGAGGTTTTCGTGAGTGCCACATTTCGTGTGGAAACCGCAAGAACTTCTTCGACCGGAAAGCCATTTACACATAAGAAGTTCGGTGCTGTGGCTATGAACCTCATCCAGGCCTTGGCTGCATCCATGGCCGCGCGGGAAGCCACCGCAAGGGCATCGGCCTGAGCCACGAGACCTTGCCACACAGTAGCAGCTCGAGGAAGATGGAACCCACAAGCTACCGTGTCCGGGTCTGTCAAACCGCCAAACATCGCAAGATGTTGACAAGACGTGGTGATCTGGTGCTGCCAGGAAAGTGTATATGAGAGTATATCGCTGAAACACGAGGGGGAGGTTTACGGTCGGACATGCACACAAGACACAAGTCTCTCAGGGTGATGCGGGAGTTGCTTTCGGTTGGCTGCAGCTGCCCCTGAGCTGTCTGCATCTGGCTCCCGTTCTCCTGCGGCCGAAGATGAGGAGGTGTTCCAGTCGATACTCCACAAAATTCCCAGTTTGAATGGCAACTTATGTTGTAGAGCACTTTGCCGGCCGGCCCACGGGCTTCGGCTGCCAGTGCTAAACCCGTGGAAACTCCTGGAGCTGTCTGTGGACCCGTTTTCGGTGTGGTGTCATGCGCCTTACGTTTTCGAATCTTTGGGGGGCATAATCTCCCGAACACCTACCGCCCTCTGCCGATCTGTCCAATCTGGCCCGGTAAATCTATCGTACAGAAACAACAGCAAGTAAGGCATCGTTCTGCGGCGCGAGCAATCCGGAATGCAGGCTTCAAGCAAGCATTCAAGCCACCAAGAACATCAGCACATAAGCATTCGCACTGCAACAAAGCTCATCACAAGTACCTGTAATCGGGAGAAACCGCTGCACCGGACTACACATGGAAAGAATGCCATACCTACTTTGGGAGCCGTCCTTCTTCCCAGCTCTGACCACGGTGGCAGGTTCCTCATCTTGAGGGCGGCTGTAGAAGCGCGGAGCAGTTTTGGAACTTTGCAGGGTGTCTTTTGCAGACCCTGACTAAGGCTTTGGGGGCGGGTGCTGACCATAAGGGGCGCTAATTGTTCAGATCTCCTTTTGTTGAATCCCTACTGACAACAACAGACTTGCATCCAATTCGAGATCTCAGAGGTCAGACGTAAGATGCTCAATCTGCAAAACCGAACCCCTTGTTTGGCACTGGACTCAAGTCTAGCCAGGCTACGAAACCCTTTTTGCATCAGGACTTGTGCAATCGCCTGAATGTCCGAGCCCGCATTCGTAGCCTAAACCCCAAACCCGTATCACCTCAACCCTAAACCCTTTTGCAACTGGCCTGCTGCGACCCTAAACCCGAAACCCTAAACCCAAAACCCAAAACCCGAAACCCTAAACTCCAAACCCCAAACCCTAAACTCGAAACCCTAAACCCCAAACCCGAGTATCACAGTAAATATGCGAGACTCCGACTCTGCGGATTGCTTGCCCTGCTCGAGGGTATCCACCAAACGGCCCCGGAGCTCGGCCACCAACTCCCAGGCCACCTGCCATGCTTTGACGCAGGAGTTTCCGAAAATAAGGGGTACCTTGTTTTGGGGTCCTTATAATAAGGATCCTAGTATTTGGAGTACTATATTAGGGTCCCCTATTTTCGGAAACCCCCATGTAGTACTAAAAGCACCATGTATCTATCTATCCTATGAACTGTATATACAGTAATATGTGAATTGTAGATGTGGAGCATGTGTGTGCGCATACTCCGTACATAAAAAGGTATACTACACACAGACGCACACACACGCACACACACACACATGTATGTAGTATGCCCGGGCCTTGTAGACAAATAGAGATTCTCCTACCCTGCTCTATAGATGTCTCTCTAGATCCGCTTCGTGGGCTATGTGGATTTCTTGGCGAGGGATCCGGGAATCCAGCTTCACCCCCTATAGCGCCTCCAGCTGGTTTTCCATCGCTGCCTTCTGCTGGCAAGACCTTACTCCAGCTGCCCCGGCCCTCCCCAGCTTCTGCAAAGGGAGTGCCTGTCCACCTGACAGCCTGCCACTTGCACACGTCGTGCAAGCGGTGTGTGGCTCGCAGATAATGGCAGATGAGCGGCACATCGAGCTGCCTGGACATCAACGGCTACAGGAAGCCAAAGCACGGTTTCATTCACATCCATCAACCAGCCCGTTGTTTGCAGAATCGGGGCAAGATGGCACCTCTTAACCAGCCAAACAACCATCCTTCAGCCTTTGCTCCGAAAAGCCCTTCGAGAAGTCGAGAGGATGGGTGGTTTCAAGCCCGCTCAAGCAGGCACGGACTTCAGGCGATAGGTGCAAGAACGGCTAGCTTGCTGCAGGGACTTGCAGCAGCACAGCAATCAAGACATGACCGAGTAAATCATGCAGAAGAACCTAAACCTCGGACCACCCATCACTACACTACACCGTTTATAGCTACTGCACATCCTCACGACAGCCTCACGGAGGCACCTCAGCGACTCAGCATTTCCAAAGGCATCGAGCTGAGGCAATAAGGCTACAAAGAACCCCACCTTTGCAGCTCCACCATCTCGACATCAGGCCGCCGCGGCTCTTCTGGCGTGGCTTCCTTTGCTCGGCTAAGCGGTGCTTCGGCGAACTGCAACATCTGGAACTCTGCATTCTGGGCGCATCGCAGCATACCCAGGCATTGCTCCTGAAATCCCTTCGGAAATGTGCAAACCTTTACGCTCTCACAACTCTCTCCAACCCTTCTCGTGCTGGTCTTGCACATCTGATGCAGCCAGAGAAAAGAAGTGAAAGCTTTGGAAAGCCACATGCTCCATAATGCATCCACCTCCAACACAAGATAGAGAAAGGTTGGACTAGATCCAACAACCGGATTTCAGTTCTGTGCCTGCACGACTAGACAACCTAAACTTCGAGCTGAGTGAATCAAGAGACAAACCCGTCAGTCGGCACGGCATGCACTGAGTCAGGCCATGGGCCACCTGATCCTGAAATTGAAGCCGTCACCCGGAAGCTGAAATTTAACAACACTCATCAGCCTTCTCCGCCTCGGAACTATTTCTATTGCTATGTCAATGCATGTCATCCTTACAAGAGCAGCATGCTTACCCTTTTGATCTACACTCCGCCGGCTTCCTCTGTCACCTCGTGATCTGAAGGCCCCACAGAAAACCCTCGCCAGCCACGGGACAGGCTCGGACTTCACCAGGCCAGGATCCTGGTACGGTCGAAGGCCTACTCTTATTGCAGGGTATGCTAGGCATGCTAGGCAAGCATCCCACAAGGAACATCCGAACCGGCGTCATCACGTCCGTCATCATGATGATGCTCGCATGTTTGTTTTACGATCGTCGCGAAGTATGCTTGCTATCAAAACAGATGTAGCAAAGCAATTCGGCGGGGTGCCTTGGCAATCGCAGACTTTCCGATCGAACACAAGGTCGGTGCAGTTGAAGATGCACAGCCGGTTCTCTAACGTGGCATGGCATTCTGTCATCCACTTGGGGCCAGGTCGCCGCGGAATCTTCTTGCTTTTCGGCGGCTTTGCGAGGTGTACGTGGCTCCTTCGGCCCGGCACACTTGCCAACGTGGTAGGCAGTATCCATAATATGCGAGGAAGAGGGATGCACCGCACTCATCAAGTAGCTTCGTACACGCTGCTCCAAAGAAACACGAAACTGTAGTATCCACTGTCAGTGCAGCAGCAGGAGGTGCAGTACTAGCAGTACATCTCGCTAGTGTTGTCCTCATCGTTGTTATTGTCAGATTCGTAACAACATAGTGGCACTAGAAGCAGCAACAGCAGTAGCAGCAGGAGTAGCAATGGTCGTCGTCGTAGGCTTGGTCGTGACAGTAGTCGTCGTCGTAGCCGTAGCCGTTGCCATCGTCGTCGTAATCGTCGTCGTTATAGCCGCAGTCGTCTCCGTCGTCGCCGTCTCTGTCGTCTAATAGTCGTCGTCGTCGTCGTCGTAGCAGTAGTAGCAGCAGTAATACTAGTTGCAGCATCCAGCAGCTACAGGAGTCCTAGTAGTAGTAGTAGTAGTAGTAGTAGTAGTAGTAGTAGTGGTGGTAGTGGTAGTGGTAGTAGTACAGTAGTCGTCGTCGTCGTCGTGGTTTAGGAGTCGCAGCAGTAATCGTCGTCCTACTGGTGCTGGTGGTGGTGCTGGTGCTGCTTCTAGTGCTGGGGCAGTGGCAGTGGCTCTTGAACTGGCAGTGGCAGTAGCAGCCGTAGTAGCAGCGGCCGCACCAGTGGCCGTAGAGGCCGGTAGCAGTAGCTGTCGCCGTCGAGCCGCCGTCGTCGTAGTAGCAGCAGCCGTCTTATGTAGTGAGAACTTTCCCGGGCCCCCAAACGTACTTCGTCGCCCGCCGCCTAATCAATATAAGAACCTACCAGACCCGTGCCTGCTTCTGGGCACCTTTCCTGGGCGGCGACAAGTCATTCTGCTGTGCAGGTGGTCCGAACACATCGCGCCACGCTGTCTTGTAGCGCTCAGTGGTGCTACGCTGAAACCAGGACAACTGATACCAAGGCAGGCACTGATCTTCATCATTTCCTTCCCGCCCGAAAAAATCTAGGCCCCCATGACAATGGTGCAAGCGACGAAGCTTTTTTGGAAAAGGGAATCTATATGACCAAGGCTCTCGACACCGAACCTCAAGGTCATCCTCCTGCAACAAATACACGAGCAGTGCGGACTAGTTCCGCGACGCTGTGGCGGCTGTTCAAGTCACTACAAGTTCACAACGGCACAAGCTCTGCACACTGAAAACTACATTCTCTGATGCTTTTCACTCATCGCCCACATTGCCCCACTGAGACCCACTAAGCCTGGAAGCTCCACTTTCTCAGCTTTCTGCCACGACAGCCAAAGCTCGCGAGATTGGATGCAGCATCGGATGATCAAATCTCTGAAACACTAACTTCACTTCGAAGCACCTCGACGAAGCCGCCGAGTGCGGCCTCAGGTCGGCTTTGAAAGTCTGGCGTTTACGACTGAGGGTTTTTGGGGGGGGTGCAATTGGCGAAGGCTGCACTGGGCTGTCAGCAGTCGAACCCTGGCCAGGCGCAGATCACAAATCGCTCAAGGTCTGCAGCAGGAAAAGCCCGCAGCTAGGCTTCGGGTAATGTGCCGCCATGGATCGTAATGCTGCCTCGGCCTCTCGAGTCCTTGCGCCCACTCCCAACCACCTGCTGCCTCAGCGCTGCTTTCGCTGATTGGGAGATATTGGGAGCACAGGTACCATCCCAACCCGATTCTTGAAGTATACCGACATCTCAGCAATCGTGCTCTCGTGGTGCAAATGCCCTTTGTGGTCAAAAATTTTGCTCCCGCCACAGGGCACCTGTTCGGCACTTTGGGCTTGGAATGATTCGCTCCTTCAGGTGCCCTCTTTGGGGTGGGTCCGGCCAAACTCGGTGTTCTTTCTCTGAAGGTTGGCCCATGTTTTGGTACCATACGGGTGCCTACAGACACGCATGTGACCGTCTGATGTTCTGCCATGCATCAGTTTCCAGATGTTGCTTCTGCCTTTGATTTGTGACCGCATCTTCTGGACTTCGTTTGCATGGCTTTCTAGCGAAGATGAGGCGGAGTCCCCGCGATCAACTTCAAAGAGAGGGCCAAGCTAACAATCCAGATCACAAACAACAACATTGCGGAAGGATGGTAAGCGCAGACCTATACGCTGCCTTCAGGGCTCGGATTGCAGGACAAGGCAGGTTCGTTTCTCAGAGCGCCTGACCAGTCTTTGCAAAACTTTCCGGTTTCAAACTCCCACCCTACGGTCCTCAATGGAAAACCTCCCAGCCCTAGGGCGCCGGCTTGTCAAGCACAATGGTTGTCCTGCAAGGAAGTCGGCTCATGGGCCCTATTGCAAAACGCACAGCGTTTGATGACAGCTCTGACTACACGTAGGTTTCATGACACGCGAGGCTCGGCAAATCGCAACGAGTCGTCCCAACAACGAGAATCAATTCGACGACAACTTCCTCTTCCTAAGGCCTCTCCTGAGACCTGCATCCCACACCTCCCGGCTCATAGGCTCTACCTAGGGCCCCCTGGAAAATCTCGCCAACCAGCCTCATCCGGCCAGTGGGGGTTTTCACCAAAGCGGCCCGGCCAGTCGAAGCCTTGCCTTGGCAGCTTGGGATGTTGGCAAAGAGGCCCACTTTGTGCTCCCGTAGTTGCGCGAAGTCGAAGAACGGATGCTCCTTCCCTGTCGAGGGGAGCCTGCAACACCTAATTCCACTTAAACCACTTGGGAGACGCCCATCATCAGCCAGGGTTCAAAGAATTGAAATGAGCTATGCAGTTATGCGGAAACAGTGGAGCTTTAAGGCTCGAGCTTTGAACCCTGGCCGTGATTACCTCCGGACGGATCGCCCTTCACTCGTCTGGAGCTGTTCCTGGAGGGCGACCCAAAGCCTCTATGTATAAGAAATTCAAAAGTTGAAAGCATACACCCTTGGACCAAGGCCAGGGCAAAGACAAGTGGCGTGCTGATACGCGGTGACATGGTGCCACGCAGCTCCCTGCCTCACCATCCTGTACCTTCGGCCCAAGTCGCGGGCAACAACGCAACATGACGCAGCTGCCTTCCATCATGAGCTTGTCGCGACCATTGCTGCCACGTCCGAGTAGTCTTCCACTTGGTCAAAGTTCAAGTACTTATAGATTTGGGCCTCGTTCTTGCCCAGCTCTGTATGGTATTTCAGGTACTCTTCTGTCGTTGGGAGCCTTCCCAGCATGGCCGAGACTGCAGCAAGTTCAGCTGAGGCCAGGTACACGTTCGCACCCTTGCCGAGGCGGTTCGGGAAGTTGCGAGTGGAGGTGGACACCACAGTGCAGCCGTCTGCGACACGGGCCTGGTTTCCCATACACAGCGAGCACCCCGGCATCTCAGTTCGAGCCCCAACCTTGCCGTAAATCGCATAGAAGCCTTCCTTGGTCAGCTGCTCCTGATCCATTTTGGTCGGAGGTGCTATCCACAGCCGGGTGGGGAGTTGTCTCTCGCATTGCGCCAGCATCTTGCCCGCAGCGCGGTAGTGTCCGATGTTGGTCATGCAAGAACCAATGAAAACCTCGTCGATCTTGGCACCTTGCACCGCGGAAAGCGTCTTGGCATCATCGGGATCATTTGGGCAGCAAAGAATCGGCTCTCTGATCTCGTCCATGTTGATTTCAAGAACAGCAGCATACTCGGCATCCTTGTCTGCCTCCATGAGCCGCGGGTTTGCCAGCCAGGCCTCCATCTTGGCCACGCGCCGTGCGAGAGTTCGCGGGTCACTGTAGCCTTTGGCGACCATCCATTTGAGGAGGACGATGTTCGACTTCAGGTACTCGATGACGGGCTCCTTGTTGAGTTTGATGGTACAGCCAGCTGCAGAGCGCTCGGCGGAGGCGTCTGAAAGTTCAAAAGCCTGTTCGCACTTCAGATCTGGCAGACCTTCGATCTCGAGCACACGGCCGTTGAAGACATTTACCTTGCCTTTCTTCTCGACCGTCAAGAGGCCCTTCTGAATGGCAAAGTATGGGATCGCGTGAACCAGATCTCTCAAGGTGACGCCTGGCTGCATCTTCCCGCTGAAGCGGACGAGAACGCTCTCGGGCATATCAAGAGGCATCACCCCGGTGGCAGCCGCAAAGGCGACCAGGCCTGAGCCCGCCGGGAAAGAGATGCCCAGGGGAAAGCGAGTGTGCGAGTCACCACCCGTTCCAACCTGGTCCGGTAGCAACATCCGGTTTAACCACGAGTGGATGATGCCATCGCCCGGTCGCAAAGCCACGCCACCTCTGTCAGCAATGAACTTCGGCAGCGTCTGGTGCGTGGTGACGTCGACTGGTTTGGGGTAGGCTGCGGTGTGGCAGAAAGACTGCATCGTCAGATCAGCAGAGAAGCCGAGGCAGGCAAGATCCTTTAGCTCATCTCTGGTCATGGGGCCAGTCGTGTCCTGGGATCCTACAGCGCCCATGCTGGGCTCACAGTAGGCGCCGGGCACCACACCAGCCACGCCGCAGGCCTTACCCACCAGCTTCTGGGCGAGAGTGTAGCCTTTCACTTTCACGTCCGGCTGCTTCATGGATCTGAAAGCTTGGGAGGGCTCCAACTGCAGTGCTTCCCTGGCCTTTCCTGTCAGCCCTCGCCCGATGATCAGAGGTATGCGTCCTCCAGCCTGTACTTCATCGTGCAAGACCTCCGATTTCAAGGAGAATTTCGACACGATCGTGTCAGTGCCATGTTTCTTGACGACTCCTTCTCTGAAGCAGACATCAACGACGTCCCCCATGTTCATGTCCTTCACGTCCATCTCAACTGGTAGCGCACCCGAGTCCTCCATGGTGTTGAAGAAAATGGGAGCTATCACAGTCCCGAAGACGAATCCACCAGTCCTCTTGTTCGGCGTGAAAGGGATGTCGTCGCCCATGTACCACAGGATGGAATTTGTCGCTGACTTTCTGGAGGAGCCAGTTCCTACGACGTCCCCCACGTAGACCAAGGGGAAGCCCTTCTTTTTCAGCTCGGCGATCTGCTTTGAGGCATCCGTGATGCCTTCCCGTGGGAACTTGAGCATGGCCAGGGCGTGCAAAGGAATGTCAGGTCTGGACCAGGCGTCGGGTGCCGGGGACAAATCATCCGTGTTCGTCTCGCCCGTGACTTTGAAGACCGTCAATGTGACCTTGTCCGGGATGCCCTTCCTGCTGCTGAACCACTCAGCCTTTGCCCAGGACTCCATCAACTTCTTTGCAAACACATTTCCTGCCTTCATCTTGTCTTCAACATCATAAAAAGCATCAAACATGAGCAGGGTACGTGACAAACCTGTCACAGCCAACTCGGCCAGCTCCTGATCTAGGTCCAGGGCCTCCACCAAAGGCTGCACGTTGTAGCCTCCCTGCATCCACCCAAGCATCTCCACCGCCTGTGCCTTGGTGATGACTGGGCTTCTCTCCGCACCGACCACGATCCTCCGCAAGAAGTTGGCCTTGACGTAGCTGGCATCGTCAACCCCTGGTGGAACACGGCTCCGCAGCAGCTCCAAGAGGAATGTCTCCTGGCCTGCCGGAGGGGCCTTCAGCAGCTCCACCACACACTGCACCTGCTTTGCATCCAACGGCAGCGGCGGAATGCCCTGCGCCTCTCGATCCTTGACGTGAGCCTCATAAGTGGTCTTGAAGCCTTCTACATCTTTGGGTACGATCTTGGGCAGCTTCACGGTGATTGACTTGCTTGCTGAAGCAGCACCTGGATAGCCCGTGTCCTCGATGTCTTGCATGATGCCCACGCCTTCTTCCACTTCTCGAGGGGACAGCAGATGCCGAGTAAATCAGAGCTTCAGCCAAAATGGCTACCATCGTTCACCTAAGTGAAGCCTCTACCCATGCCTCCTCCATTGCTATCTAGCGATGCCAGCAGCGGGCTGCAAAAACATCTGAATTGGTTGGCTTCATCCGAAAGACGCGTTTCGGCAAAAAAGTGCCTATAGCATGTTGGAGTCTCCCTGTGCGTTCCAGGCGCGTTCCCGCTTTCCGGCACTCACGCAGGATTTCCAGAGCCTCAAGGAAGCTGAAACTGCTGTCAAGGGATATTCGGAGAAGTCATCGGCAGATCATGAAGATAGGTCACATGTAGCTCGTTGTAAACCGACTCTATGAGAAAAGCTAGAAGACCACCGAACGATGGAGGAAAACTGAACTCCCCCACATCAGGAATTCTACAGCCGTTGCCAGGGAGCCCGAAAATGAGGCGACGGAGCGAGTCCTCGGAGTTCATCATCCTGCGTGGGGTGGCACCGCGCATTCAATTGAGGGCTGTCTGCCTTGTGGCTTTACCAGGAAACATGGACTCAAATGTAAGAGTCAAGAGGTATACGGCGAAGCTCGGAAAAACTAATTCGGGCATAAATGGAAGTGGCACGTTGCAGGCAAGGCAGGCGTACAATGAGGCCTGGGGTGCTGCTAGAGTCTCGAGGGACCAGGCCCACATTGCGCGATGACCCAATCCCAACACTGTAAAGTCGACTTGGCTTTCTCAGCCTTGATGCACCTGGTCACAGCCGTATGGCCACCGCAAGCTTTCACTGGCTAGGTGTTTTTGCCGCAGCTGCGGCGCTGCCATCTAAAGTTGCGGAGTCGCCATGATCTGCTTGAGCAAACATAAGCAAAGTATGAGGTCCTCAGCATCAGCGGCTGCGACTCTTGAGAAGCCTTGAAAGCCTTCTCAGCCTCCAAGACCACACTCCTTGGCTCTATACTCTGCAACTACACAGACTCGTGAAGCTCTCCCAGCTTCTCAGAAGCATGCTACTGAGAAACTGGACTGAAAAGACACCTAAACCCTAAACCCCCAAAGGCCCCTAAACCCTAAACCCTTTATAGTAGCCCTATAGAACCCTTTAAGGATCCCTTTAAAGGAACCCTATTCTAATTATTAAGGCCCCTAACCCCGACCCAAGGCATAGTCCCAGTGTGACAGTGTGACAGGGCTCTCCAGGTGTCGCATCCGCTGGAAGATCTCTGCGGCCTCTGCCTCGCTCAAGAAGGCTCTGGTCCGATAGTATCATATTGTATGATATAGTAGATTATAGTACGATATAGTATAATATAGTCATAGTATCATAGTGTATGATGTAGTAGATTATATACATAGTACGATGCAGTATAATATAGTATCATCTAATATAGTATCATGAGTAGGCCTACAGCTTTCGAATTCCGGAAAGACTTCCCCTGCATTGCATATCTCGGGAGGAATCGAGTGCAACAATGCAGGGCCGGGGTAAAGCATGTGCGATGGCATCTGCCTCGCCTCGTGCCAGGGGTCCTCGAGCGGATTGAGCTCTTCCACTGCACCTTGAGCATACTCACGTTTCAACAGACTTGGGTTTGTCAAGCGGCCTCCGCCACCGCATGAGCCACCACCAGCATTGGACAATCCCCGGGCCACGCCGTGATTAGGTTTTCAGCAATTTTATGTGACCGCAGCTTGGGAGACCCTGGATTGCTAGAAACCTGCAAGCCGGGCGGCTGCTGTCCTTCTGCCGCCAGTAGTCTCGCATGCGCTCCAGCCGTTCTGCCAGCTGGCTTACCGACCAAATGTACCTGCGGCCGAAGGCTCCAACTATCAGAGCCAACGGGCCGATGCTCACCCTCACTCGCACTCTCTTCACGTAGAGCAGAGCTTTGACTCGCAGCTGTGCTCGGACGACTCGCAGCTTCTTGCCGTTGGGCACTTGTTCTTCCAATGCTCCTCGTTCGCCCGGGCAGGACCATCTTCACATTCACACTGCAGAACGCGGATGGCAACACACCTCGGTTCGGCAGATGCGAACTTGTCCAGTCTGTTGACCGACGAGTCTGAGGAGGCAAGAAATTGCAAACGTTTCTTGCAGTTCTGGCCGACAGAAAACAAAGTATCCGCAGCAACCGCCGCTATCAGCAAAGGAGCGGAGGGATACTGCTGGTTAAGTCCACCTCGAAGTGCAAAGCGTCGGATCCGGATCGACATTCCGTCGTCACTTCGTTTGCCTGTCGGACACATCGGACCCGAACAGTCTTCCAGTTCAGCTTTCGGGCAAACACTCCGGCAACTGCGCGAAATCTCGAATCACGTAAGTGGCAACTCCAAGCTTCCATGTCGCGCCTCGTCGGTGAGGCGACAGGCTTGCCTGAAACCAGCTACCCAGCTGCTCCCTCCCATGCTGTGTACAGCGAACACTTGTAGGCTGTGCTCAGCAAAGTGGCTTGATCTCCTCCATCAAGGCAGCGGCCATCGGCGCTGACCTGGGGCCACGATTGCACACTCTCCGACTGCTTTCCTTCCGTGCCTGAAGCGCTCCACCAACACGCATAGCTGATGCAGTCATGGCTCATCTGACGGACGACTTGCCCCACATAGTCTTGAAGGCTCTTCCAGGACGGTGAGTTTTCCAGCCTTGCTGTGCCCTACTGGAATCTGGTGACACGGGACTCTGAGGCTTCGGGTTGTCGGAATCTTGACAAGGCGGTCCATCAGCTGACCGATCTAGGGCCGCTGGGCAGCGCCGCGGTGTCCGTCTCATCGCGCTGCAGCACCAGGTCATCCTGCTAAGCGGCAGGAGCCGTGCCAAACGCTGCACGTGGGGAACCCCAAATCGATTGATGCTACAAGGCTTCAAACCCGCTCGACTGTGCACAAGCCTTGCAGCCGGATGCCCGAAACCTTGCTGTCCTGAAGAGGGGCGGCGCCGCCCTCACCAGGACAAACGAGCCTTTGCAAGCTACTTCCATGCGAACCGTTGCCGGATGATGTTTACATTCAGTTGATATGGATGCAGACTACCCTGATTCCCGAAACAAGGACGAAGGAAATCTGACAGCTGGTAGCGGATTTGCTTAAGCCGAATCTACCATGCGGCTGCGTACTGATTGGAGTGACGTCCCTGACTCCTGAGGTCCCAGATCCAACGCCCCACAGGTTTCGGCGAGATGAGCCAGAGCAGTGCTATATTATACAGCGGTCATCTCGCACGTGCCAGTTTAGTGCACACATGTGCACACCTTTGCATTTCATAGACGACGACTCTGACGACGACGACTACTGAGAACCGGATACACCGTTTTGCCCGGAAGCTTCAGGACATAGGTGCGGCCCAGCGAGATACGGTCACCTTGATTAGGTTTGCAGGAGAAATCCCAACAGCAGACTGTGGGGATGCTGGCGTCAATCGCAGTAGACTCGCATGCCAAGATGCCGTCTTGAAGTTCCCGCATCTGGTTCTGCTCGAGCAGCTTCCCTTTCAAAGCACATCCAACAATCATGTGAAAATGCTGCGCCCTCGTCTGTATGTATCCATGTCCAGCTTGTCAGCAGCTGTCCCGTTCATCTCACGCAACGAGCTTCCATGAGCCGTGAACTGTGGACCCTGAGGCACGCGCCATTCACGAACACTCTCGTCCCATCGGACAGGCGCGTGAGGCTCAGCCCCCCTGCCTGGGTTCGCATGCGGCTTGTGCTCCACTGTAAGAAGAAGCACACCCAAGTTCCCGAAGACTTGAGCTGCCGCTGCCCGGCCCCCCCAACAAAAAACGCATCATTTCCGCCGCATGCCCTTCAAACTGAGTGCGTCTTCCGGCCTCTAAGACATCGATGCGGCACAGGAAGTCCGGCATTCCCAGACCTGTGTAAGACAAGTGCTAGAGTCTTTCGCAGCCACCAAGATCCACCCTCCAACTTACACCAGACAGACGTTTTCGGATTCTTGGATGCGGCTTCGACTGAAGTACAGACCCTGCATCACCGGCGCCTTTCAAGACGATGGTGTTGTCCTTGTTAGCGCCCATGGTTGTCGGCTTGCTTTCCTGCATGTAAGAAGGATCCATCTGTCCACACACGTCTAAAGTTTCGGGCAGCGCTTAGCCAACTGCCAACTCCTACGCCGAAGCTGCCTCGGGGTGCCTGCTCTCCCTTAGTTGTACTACACCGACCTTTAGAGTCAATAGTCGGCCTGGATCAAGTAGATAAGGCATCCGGCCAGCATAGGGTCGAAGGCCATGTTCACCATATAGGGCTGGCCATTGCTGATTCCGAAGGCCTCAAAGCCACATCAACTCGCAGTCAACTCCAAACAGGACAAGGGTCTCATGCTGGCCCAAAGTACTTAGAAACAACTTTGAGGGGCTAAGCTCCGTCCATCCATTTATCTGTCCATCCATCTTACGAGATTGTGCAAGGCACTTACCTCTGTACACAAGTGCACACACACACACACACATGGCCACGGAGTTTACCCCCCTGCGGCCTCGGTGATGTGGCCGTGGGAGAGGCCGCTCTCCTCCAAGGCCTTCTCCCGGGCCCGGCTCATCTCTCGAGCGGCCTCCGCGCAGGGAGCTCAGGGGCCCAGGGTTGGGCCTGATATCTTCGTGAAGGAGGTCGGAAAAAGGGGGCAACCTCGCGAGTTTCTCTTGAAATGCAGAAAGCAGTACAACTGGCGACGAAGTGTGGCCGTGCGAGGTCCCTCAGCTGTTCTGGGCCCAGAGGTGGCCTTCAGCTCCTCCTGGAAGTCTTGCTGCGTCTGCTCCTGACAAAAAGCAAACTTTCTGAAACCAGCAGGGGCTCTGATGTGCGGGTGCCCTTCAGTCCTTGATGAGTCTCTCGCGTTCTTTCAACTGCTCCGATGCTTCGGCGACCTTGAAGCCAAGAGTCCGAGAGGTGAGGGGGAGGGCCTTGATCAAATGGAGGACTTTGCGCAGCTGCCCGGAGACAGGGAACTTGTGAATGCTAACAGCACCTCAACATGTGCGGCAGAGTTTCGTTGAGACCTCCGGCAGCCATCTGCGCTTTCAGAAGTCGCATCTCCTGGCAATCAGGAAACCGCACCTCTTTCGGCGACCCGATGAAAGATTCTGCACACCGAGCCTGCTGTAAGTTATCGATGAGTTGATCCTTCTTGTTCTTGTTTTGAACAGCCACTGTCTTGATGCTTTTGACCTCACGGAGAGCTCAGAGCGTATAGGGCCCTCGCAGGCTGTTGGAAATGCAGCGGCTCCCACATCAGGCTCCGACCGACGAGGCGAATCTCAGTGTCGAGACGGTCTCATCGTAGTTGTCCTCGGCTGCAGCAGCATCGCCCAGCAGACGGATCGGTATGTTTGTTAATTGAGCAGCTTGTTCCGTGCAGATGAGGGTCGCTGGCGGGTGAAACCGTGGCCATCATGCCTGGGCGCCGACTTTCGCCACACCACACCACATGCCAGCAAAAGAAGACAGCTGAACCTTCAATGAAGTAAAGCGGCAGGTCTTTGAGTTACCTGCCAGCGAGTCCTGCAGGGATTGCAACGTGAGGGCTCAATTCGGCGTGCCATTCGGATCGGTGCGCATCGGCTGCCCCCGACAGTCTAGCACTAAGTTCGAGCAGTAAAGGACTGCCGTGAGAACCCAACATGCCCAACAGCACGTTATTGATATCTGATATACCTTACTGATACCTGTTTCATCGTCTTTCAGCAAAATCCCACCAAGATCCTCCAGTTCCAAGCCTTTGCAGGATTGCTCTGTTGGTACTATGCGATGTCAGGGGCTGCACTGCTTGGTGAAATCACGTGATGCAATGATGAAGACGGTGTGCCCCGCGGTAGCAGCTCCTTCAAGAGGAAGGTCAGCTTCGACGCGCGGAACATAGGAGCTTTTAAGCCACCGTTGCTTTGCTCTGTCAACATCCTTGGCAGCTGACAGCTAGATACAGTGAACATCTCACCGCAACACCGGATGTTTGCAGCAACGTTTCGCGTGCCAGATCTTATCGAGCTTCGATAAGGGAAGCAAATATTGCTCTGTCAACGAGAAGAATTGAAAGATTCGTTGGACAACGAGGACGCGCTTCTCTTGTGTATTCCATTTCCCCTCTGAACCCGGCAGCCCCTGCTCCCGGAGCTTCGCAGATGCACAACTCCACAACGAGCAAAATTGAGAAATGTCGTTACCGCGACAAACCGAATTGGCTTGGGATCTCCAGGCGATGTCTCACGACAAGGCCTGTTTGGGGCCAAGGCTCTTGATAACCAGGCCAAGCTGAGACAGGCTCCTTGGGCACTGCCGAAGTATCAGGTCTAGCCAAGGTGCACATTCTCTCTAACATGTGGCATAAGCTCAAAGCCGGCAACCCACTCGAGACAAAGTCTCAAGGGCTGTGAGGCAAGAATTTCAAAGCAGGCCCTGAGTCTTGGACTGGTTGATGGCACAACCCTCTTTCAAGCGGTCGTTCTCTGTCTGCGCCTGTGGAGACGATTGCATGCAGCAACTTCAATTTGAGAATGGATGCGACAAGATACCACGCCAATTGACCAGGTGATCACAGGCTCGGAAAATCTCACTACAAGACTGCAGAATTGCCTTGGAGGTGCGCTCACTTCCCGCGAGATCAATAAGGTTGATCTTGGCCTGGGCTCTTCCAGCACTCATCTACGAACTAGGCGCGACAGCATGATGCCTAGAATGCCACTCAGAGGCAGAGAGCGACTTGCGCTCGTCCTTGCCGTTCTTGCCCTTGGGGCGCTCCCCCTCGAGCCTGTTGACGATGATAGTGAAGACCGCCTGGGAAACTCGAACTCAGCAGAATATCTAATGTCAGGCAAGCAGAGGATACATCGCGTCCAACCCCGTCCGAAAGCACATGCAAACAGGGTGCATGCGAGCGCGAGGAGCTTTGATTCATGTTCGTGGCAGCGATCGTTCTCATCTTCAGCCCATACTCCAAGTTGCCTGTTCATGCCAACCGACGATCAAACGGGCTGCCGTGTCTCCGTCATGCTTCAACCCGTCTCTGCATAGTTCATTCATGTCGCACCGATGCCGAGTTGCGCATCACCTCCGCCTTCGTGGCGCAGGGCATATGGTACAGGCCTTTCACATAGACACCCAGCTTGGGGTGCTCCTGGACCAGCAAAACGTGCATGACAGAATCCACAGAACAGATGTGATGTCGCATTGGCCACATGCCAGCAACGTGAAATGAAGGTACTCCTGTCTCCGGCATGCTGCGGCTGGGAAGCGAACCCTCAGCTCATTTGCAGTCCGAGTGGCCATGATCTTTAGATTCTCGCCCTGGGCAAAGCAGAGGTTGAAAGCTGAACTGCTGCTCCACGACTATAGCTCTTTCTTTCGGGCGCTGCGCCAAAGTCTTGCCTAGCTCTATACAAGCCTCATAACCTGCACCAGTCTCTGCTCGCTGCTAATATTTCCATGTGTACATATGTGTATATGTATATGTGCATATATATATATATACACATACACATACAAAAATACATACACAGATACACATACACATACTTCTACCTATATTTAGATAGATAGATAGATAGATAGATAGATGGATAGACAGATACATGGATAGATGGATAGATAGATAGATGGATAGATAGATAGATAGATAGATGGGTAGATCGGTAGATGGATAGATAGGTAAGTAGATAGATAGATAGATGGATAGACGGATAGATAGACGGACAGATATAGCTAGGTAGGTAGGTAGATAAATGCACAGACAGACAGACAAACAGACAGACAGACAGACAGATAGATAGATAGACAAATAAATAGATGGATATTTTAATCGACATATGGTTTTTAGTTAGACACAAACATACACACATACATAGGTACATAATTAAATATGTTATCTATTTGCTGTTGTATTTATGTTTGCACTGTTATATACTGGTGTTTACGTGTTTGGTAAAACGCATTCCGCACTGTGGAGTGGAGCACAAGTGGCATCCCAGAACTCGCGCAGAACAATGGCAGGAACACGAGTCGTACGCCAAATAATGAGGGACTATGGCCGCTGCCCAGTTTTGGAGGCATGCAAACGAGTCGCACACAAGATCTGCACGGCACCGTGGGGGCATGCTTCTCAAGTTCAGGAGTCACACAAACCGAAACGTGCTCCGCGCCACAGCGGGAGCTACGCAGAATAAGCGTGCGCACCTACTGAGAAGCCTTGCAGAGCCTGCAAACCAATCGAATCCCTCTTGTAGGCAACCCAAAGTCCTAGCAAATAGCCCATTTCGAAACGGATTGCATCAAGCTTGTCTCGGTACAATTTCAGCAAGCCTATCGGGGGCTGGCTTGAACACAACCTCATAACTGTAGACCTTTTCAAGTAGTGCGGCCGCATATACAGAGCTGAAACTTGAAACACCAAGCCCTACACACCAATTGACTTGATCCAAGTTGTAACTTGTGTTGGTGAACAACAAAGCAACCCAAAAAGCTCTTCTTTTGAGCTCAACCCGAAACTCAGACCCTATACCCTAAGCCGCTCAACACCTAAACATACCGAAACCCCAACCCCTGAATCCCTCAGCCCCTGGACTCCTGAAGCTCTCTTCTCTGCTAACCGGCCTTGTTCTCCTTGTTTGCGCTGAGAGACGCGAACAAGTCGGTGACCTGCTCCTGTGGTGGTTTTCGGCGCTCACGCTCGGACAGGCCAGGCGAGGTTATTGGTGCGTGGTCGGATGAGGTGAAACGCTTCCCAAAAATAGGGTTTACACTCTCACAACTCGGACAAGCCAGGCGAGGATCCATAGGTGCTTAGGTCGACGTGAAACCAAGCTGACTGCATGCCTGCGACAATGCAAACGGCACCCGCTAAAACACGATAAATCACCCCGCACCAGATAATCAGCCAAACAACCCGCACAAGCCACAAACATTCATGTTCTGCGAGTTTAGGCTCTCACCTTCAGCTCCAAGGGCCAAATACATCAAGGCTCTATAACAAAAGGACATCCTATGATGACGAAGGAGAAACGAGCAGCTCTGCCGCAAATGTTGAATGACACAGGGGGCCAGTCCTTGTAGATCTCCAGGTATGAAATCCGAACCTCGAAGGAGCTGCGACATGCTACCATGACAGCTCATAACGCCCCATAAGTGTAGAACAAACCAGAGGCTTGGCTGGTGGTGCTGCCGTACTATGCCTTCATTACATACTAGCGGTACAATAGCTGCGGTTTGCTCCGGGTGAAACTTGGAACCTCGTTGCCTGTACAATCTCGACTGCCAGAGCCTTCAGGCCCCTCAAAGTAACAGTGGTGGCTCGGAGGATGCCGGCTGTTATCTTCTACACCAGCCATCCCCGTCGACACTCGTCCAGAAGCCCCCGAGCCTGACTTCATGAACCCCTGCAGACAGGCCCCAGCAGAACAAAATGGCAACTCTTTGAAAAAATAGCCCCGCACTTGAGGCCTGAAGCTCAACCAGGGCGTCTTCTTCGAGCCGGTCCTGGCTTTTCACGAGCTCGATCAATGCCCTTCTACTGATTCCGAATCTTCTGGCTGGATGTAGGTGCTGGTGGTCGCTACCATGTTGATACTTATGCTTCACGGTCGTCAGCTATGCCAGTAAAGAGTCATCAGAGACGTTGTGAGATCCGTACTTACAATGCAAAGAGATCTGGGGCTCTGGGCATGCCAATCATGGTCTGATGCCTTTGTTTCAGTTTGGGTCAGGTCCGGGGCCTGCACTCGTCGTATTCGTGCTTTGTGGAGCACACGGAGACACGCTATTCAGACAACTTCAGCTCTGCGTATTCTGTCAACAGCCCATCTTTCAGGAGCAAAATATAGTGAAGAAGTCATTCATCAACTTGCGAATCAAATGTCTCAGAGTTGAGCCAGTGACATTGACTTTGTTGCCACCCTTAAGCTAATCTTCGTCTTCTCTGATCTCGCGTCGCCTGCAACATGTGTTGGGCCAACGCCAGCTTGGCGTGAGTATACGACAAGTCGCCCAGGTGCCGGATGTCTTCGACGGGTACCCTTTTTTTCCGCAGGCTTGCCGAGTTCACGCCTGGAAGAATCATGCCGTTCTCTTCGACAGGGACCCTAACCCTAAACTCCTGAATGCAAAACCCTGAGCATGTTAAGCCCTGCGGTTCAAGTCCCTATGCTCGCTACGGGTCCGGCCCTTTGCAGCGATGCTCCTTCTCTTCGAAGAGCCCGCTGATCATGCGTGGGATCACACCTGGACCAGAAAACTCAACCCTGAGCCCAAAGTAGCAAAGACACCGTCATAGTCAATCAGCCATGCAGGACGAGATCTGAAGCTCTACCAAAGTCTTTCGAGACCACATGCCCCGTGCCTGCATCCCCTTCGTCAGTCGGGACGCCACCCATCATGGTGTAGCTCTTGCCACCTGTCGGGGTATGCTTATAGACTCTTTCAAGATTCAGTTCATTCTTCCTGCCCCGGAGTTTTGTCTGGGTCCGTCTAGGACCTCCGGCACGTGCGAGCAACAAGGTGATCTCGCAACAAAGGATCAAATGCCCTCTCTTTGCCATCATGGCTTCACCCAGCCCTGACCAGGCTTCACGGAATTAAAGCAGACAAGAAACTGCCCGTCTGCCCATAGGCGAAAAGAGTGCAGTTGAAACCGTCCACAGCATTCCTCAGCAAGCAATCTTGCTAAGCGGGGTCTTAATACGCAAGGGCTCAGGACGCTTCACCCCTTTCAACCGGAACGACAATTAGCATTAGTGCTCCATCAAGCAGCGACACCATGGGTGTGCCGATGTCCTCAAATATCTCTGCTTGGGTACCCTGTCCCTCGCCGACGGACCAAAACCTCGGTGCTCTCCAGGCGCTGCGGTGCTGTTCAATGAGATTCGCTTGCTTCCAGGAGGCGTGTAGTCGTAAGTGAAATGCTTTGGATTCCTGGGAGGGCTCTTGTTGCTAGAAAACATGACCAAGCTCCCCGAGAACGGTCCGGGTGACCCAGGCATTATTTTGGTCCTGTCTGGGCTTGCTGTGACGGTCTTCCCACTCATCGACACCTTGGCAGACATCCAGGTCCATGGTCAGGACTCAGCAAGACCTATCTAGCATCGAACACTTCGCATTGAGTGGGAAAGCCTTCCAAATGCCGTCGAATCCGGAAGTGGTTTCTGCAACTGCTGATGACACACTGTGCACACGGGACCGGGGATCATACTCCGAGTGCAGCCACACGAGCATCTGCCGGGAGTGCTTCCGGGACCCGTCAAACATTTCGCAAAGGCGCGACAATGTCGCATTTGAGCTTCTTTTCTCGTAGGTTCAGAGGCCGAGCCCGGACGGCAACCTCCGACAAGAGTTGTACATACAGTTTTCTTGCAGCACTGACAGGCCGTCTTCAGGGCAGCTTCTTTGGGCGTGTCGGAAAAACGGGTGGCCTTGCCTTGATGCTCTCTTCCGTCCCCGGCATGTCGGTCCTTCACGCCGCTGAGAAATTTGGGGACCTCCAGGAGAACTTGATAAAAGCTCAAATGTGCTCGTTTGCACTGCTGATTGAACGCCCTGTCTCCATCTCTTTGCCTCTCCGTGTCCATGCCTCTAGCTTCGCTCGATCTTCGGACTCCGCACTGTGTAGTGCAGATGCATACTCCATGGTCTTAGTGCCCAGTCGGTGGACCCCACAGATTAGGTGTTCGAGGGTCTTTCGCTTTTCTGTCACCCTTGTTGGTTTTCTTTCTGCAAATACCCGTTCCCTTTGCTGTCTCTTTCTCTTCCCCAGGCACATCCTAGCACATCCCCTCGCCCCGGTAGGCCCCAGCAGTGCCTACCGCGCGCCCGGTAGGCAGTGCCACGGGCCAATCAGCGCCATGGTGAGGTTTTCGAGCCGCAGCTGCGGAGTCACTCAAGGTGCAAGGTCAGCAGTCCAACCAGCAGCCGTGTGGAAGCAAAAGTAGCTGTGCACCCATCAGGGAAAAAACCCGTGAATCAAAGCACTCCCGAGGCGTCAATGATGGCAGAAGCCCTCCCAAAATGTTTTTCAGCAAGTTTACTAGAGAATGCACCCCCAGATGTGCTTGGCTCCAAGGCCCTCATGCTGACCATTGACCTCATGGCCCGAACACTGCAAGTTCACTTTCGAAGCCTGCGAACTTTCAGTAGAAACGGAAATTCGTAATAACTTATAAGCATATGCTAACTCAGACGTGATGATGTAAGCATGCAAACAACTCAAATTATACCGAATGTGTTTTGGGAGTGGTATCGGAAGGAGGGCGTCATCGGCATTTTCTAAAGCTTCAAGACCATCAGTCTGCATACAATTATTCAACAGGGGCTAGGACATAGGGGTCAGGGTTTTGGGTTTGGGGTTTAGGTTGAGGTTTCTAGGGCTGATGGACTGTCTGAGTTTTATTCTCGCATCATGACGCTTCGTCCAGGTTTGGAGAGTGGGTTTCTGAACACGTGATCCTTGCCCACAGGATTTTGGTGCCTGCGGTCACGCGATGTAAAACTTTCTATAACGGGGAAGCGCTTGCGGTTCCGGAACGAGGATTTTCATTTCAGCGCCTTTGATTTCCTGTGCAAAGCTGGGGTTCATCAGCCAAGACAAGCCAAACCGAGCCAAGCAACACGCGGAAGCAAGAAAGCTGCGAAGCAAAAAGCCAGAGAGCAGGAACCAAAACCAGCAAACAAAGGTTCTCCCTCTCTTCCAAAACAAGGCCCAAGAGCCTTCGACAAACTTTCTCTTCGGAACCCCACCTGACTCAATGCCGTCAGCAGGAATCCCAAAGCCGCGGCGGCCGTCGCCGCAGCAATTTCGGAGCCTTCTGCACCTGGCCAGGCAGGACGCCGAATATCCTCCGACAATCACTACCACCGGCTAAGCACCAGTTACCGTGAATGAGGATCCAAACGCATATGTGTTGCTCTTCACATTATGGTGACAACTTGTCAGCTTGGTCGTGTCTTGGGTCTTAGGTCAGCGAAATCTACGCATTACGTTCCTGGGTACAGCTCTGATCACAGACTGCCTTGGACTTGCATGCAAGGTCCCTTTTTGCAAAGCTTCTCCGAACTCTTCGTCTCAACTCCGACCCCACGAAAGCGAGCCACACATTCCTAAGCTGAACGACGGATTCCAAAGCCGTGTGGGCCCTAAGACTCTCCTAAGACATTGGCACAGCTTCTCGTCGGAGGCATCAAAGAAGTCTCCAGAAGCAACAAGACTGCTTCCAACGTAAGAGATGCGAACCCCCCCAGGCAATGCTCTGCAAGAGGAGAGTCCGAGACGCACGGGACTTCAGCTTCTGGGAGCCTTTGCCCTCATCCCGAGCCTCACACCCTGTTTAGCACCAATGGGCATCAGAACGAACCCAAAGCTTTAACCCATCGATTCCAGCCCTTCCAACGAACCGTAGAGGCCCTGCAACAAGAAGCTCTTCGATCCTTGCCCTCAAAGTACCCTGAAAACTCGCGAGCCCAGTGTTCCAATGGAGAAGCCGCACCTGCTGCATGGCCGGCATGGCCTTAGAACCGACAGCACGGCCTCTGCGCTCAGGTGACAAGAATTCTGCAGGCCGACAGCGCGGTCGACTGCAGCCAGGCTCAGGGCTGGAATGCGAGCGCCGCAGAACAGCCTGCAGTGTCCGGATTCCGCCAGCTGGCCCTCGCAGTCTGAGAAAAGAAGTGCCTCTAGCATGGACGGCAGCACCATGTAGTGTGCACCATGCCTGGCTGCTGGTGGTTTAGACATTTTGGGCTAGATGTGAAGGTGCACGCATTTTCCTGGCTCTGTCAGACCGAGATTTGTTCTAGGGGCTGGTCTCTGCAACCAGGAGTGGTTCAACACTGCAACTGTACCAGAGCGGAGCGAAGCAGAGCGACGAATTGACCAGGGCACGAGTCCCCCCAACTAAAGGAGGCACCTCCGGCAAAAAGGAGCAAAGCGGAGATAGCAAATCAACGCAACAGCCGAACAAGGTAAAAGTAAGCACCAATAGCCAATAGCCAAAACGCATGACCGACTACGAATGAACGAACGAATAGGCTTGACAACTGCCATAGGGACTAGACGACCAAAGCAGTGGGGATGCCACTGCAGTTTTACAAACTGCCACTGGGAGCAGATGGCCACGAGGTGGGCGTACCACCGCAGTTCACAAACCGGCCGAGGAAGGTGTGCGCGAGGCACGATTTGATGCCAAGCTCTACATGCCACACAATGATCCTCGTAAAGCTTTGCGCTGTTGCTGTTGCTATAATTGTTGTCCTTGTTGTTGTTATAATCATTACTCTTGCTTGTTGTTATGTTGACCAGTACAAGCATCACTATCATTAACTACTGCTGTTAATATTGGTATTCCTGGTCGTTTTGTCCCCAATGATTAATTTTTCTTCTTGTTCTTGTTGATCTCAACCTTCTTTTGCTCCTCATCATTCCTATTCTAATTGTTGTTACGCTTATTATGCCAATTATTCTTGCGAACCCTATTACGACTGTTATTCTAATAGTTATTACTGAGCAGTAGAAGTCGTCGTCGTGATAGTAGCAGTGGTAGTAGTCGTCGTCGTCGCAGTAGTGGCAATAGTAGCATTGAAGAAATGATCGCGATTGCATTGCTTGTGGCACTGCTGCTCCCGAGCCATATCACCGAGAATCCACATTGAATGTGCGCAATAACTGAAACATGTAGGACTCTCTCCTCAAAACTGTCACAAACTCTTCCTGCATCGCCTGGTGCTTTATCGACTTCCAGCTTCAAGATGGATGGATCAGCTTCCTTGAAAAAACACCCCTAGGTTACTCTTGCTGCTTCTGAGCATGACATGCCGTCGCCTCAAAATGTCGACAAGCAGCACGAGGGACGTGTAGCACCTAAAGCTGTGGACCTGAGCTGTCCTGCTGAAACCGTCGGCTTGTACGATCGAAGTATTAACCCGTGAATACTGCCACTGCAGGGGACATAGCAACCTGGGGACGGTATCATGTTGCACACATCTCGCAAAGGGGCAGTTCCACACCCAAGTGCCGCCGCACGGTCGCTCAAGCACCGGGGCAAGTGCCAGGTCAATCGCGCGCAGCAGCCCCACACAGCGCCGCACGATCTGGCCCTTGGCTTCGGCTTTGCTTCTGCGCGTCTTCTTCGAGGACTTGGCTTTGGAAAGTGGAGGGCTTTGTACAAACCAACTGAGACGTGGACAATGCTCGGGAAGATGCTTGGCGACGATGCAGTCATTACCTGTGAAGCTTGCATGGAAACATGTGCCGGTCTCTTGCAGCGCAAATGTTGCACGGAGACAGGAAGGGCTACCGCCTGAACATCTGCAATGTATGGAAAATGCAACAGCAGCAGCAGCTGGCCATATGGCAACTACAAGTAGGTCGGAATCATCTGCTTGCCAAATCTTACTGACTGCTCCTGCGCGTCGCAGCTGCTCGGTTGTTGGTGCCGGTTTCTGACATAGCCGTACACTCTGAGAAACAAGTTGATCACGACCGGCAAGCGGTCCCAAAGCAAAAAACTGCCTGTTCAAGAGGTTGCCCTGAACATCCTATGCAAAACACCGTGCAGCTTGTCGCAACATGTCAGTTTGTCGTGGGGTAGGTTGTGTCTGTTTGCCGTACATCGGCACTAGACGATGTTCTACCTGACTTGTGGGAGCCAGGAAACACAGGCCATGAGTCAGAAGGATGCGCACAGCTTATGTCTGAGAAGCGCAAGGCTGCCCAACCTACGATCAGTCCTCTGGGAGACACTTCCGTTTTGCAGCGCTGCTTGGCGGGGCTCGCCACGACAAGATCGAGGAACTTCACAAGCGCGACGCCTTAAGCAAGAGAGTACACTTGCCAGGCAGCGTTCAGAGTGCATAGGGCGTTGGAACACCTGAAAGCCCTGTCACTTCGATACTAAACCTCGGCATCGGCGTTCAATTTCCGGGGCTCGGGCCGAGCCCGCCCAAACCTCAACGGAAGAAGTTTGCACGCTGACACATATCATCTGGTCGGCTTGTTTTTGCTCGCACTTTCAATATACAACGTGGATAGGTTACCACTGGGAGAGAGAGATATAGAGGTGCACATATACAGAAGCAGAAACCCGTTCTTTCAATATTAAGCACGATCACACACACACACACCTATGTATATATATGATCCCGGTTCGGCCGGCCCCCCCCCCTCCCCCCCCCAATGGTTCCTCCTCCCCCTCCCTGTCGTGTGGTGTGGTTGTGGGTTGCTTCCCCCTC